AGCGGTCACCGAACCTCCGGGGCTATGGCCAAAGCAATACTTTGTGTTCATTCTTTAATTTGTGCAGTTTACTTTACTGTTTGAGATTACTGTTTGTTTCGAATACTCACATCGTGTTGTGGTCTGGGCCTTACACAAACAAACGCTTTCAAAAAATTTCCAAGTATTTTCGAAAGCAACTTTTAACCTTTTAAAAATTCTGCCAAAAGGATCCTAAATAACCTACATACACAATCCATGTTGGAGTAAAAGTTTGGTTAGATGGTATTGATTTGACTTATTTTACATTTCTATTTATGATCAACTCAAACACGATATACACCATCAGAATAAAACATTAACAAATATTGTACATTTAGTTGCGACCAAATATTGAATTAACAATTTAACATTTAAAAGTGTTGTATATGCTAACCATGCATTAGAAACGTCAAATTCTTGAATCTTAAACAGTTCAAATTATTAATTCTTTTGCCTTTGGACATTCTTCAAGACGAAATTGTTCTCCTGTTCACGGTGGACAGAATAAGATTATCTATTTGCTGATGTGATAGGAGAACCTTGCGATATTCTCCAAATGTGAGAACTTAAAGTAAGGTCATCTTCAAATTGCCAAAATAAAACTATCTATTGTGGACATGAGAACATTTCTATTCTTGAAGATGCATATTAAACATTGTTTTTCTTTAATTTTATTACTGAAAAAATAATGTTAAGACAGCAACTGTAGTCTAACATATCCCAAAACTAGACATTTGTTGGGTTCAAATGTGTAAGCAAGAAATTAAAATGGATTAATCCCACAAACAAACATTCATGTCCTAACTAATGTTACCCCAACATAGTACAATCCAAATATAAAACAATGTACAACTTGAATTTCCTAATAAAACTTGTCCAAACAGTAGAAAACCAAGATCTTCATCATCTAATTAATTAATTAATGGCCATAAAAAGTTAAGAAAAATATTATTTATTATAGATTGTTGCAGTCCCCAATTTAGGTCATGTTTGAAAAAGAAATAGTTGATTTTTAAGTATATAATGTTTTGAAACTAATATCCTCAGCACCTCACATGGCTTACATAGCATAAACTGACATGAATTAGAGGTGGTTGAAGATCTCATCAAAACCTAGGGTTTTTT